CATTTTTGCACCCCATTTTGGTTTTTTTTTTTTTTTTTTTTGACATTGCTTGAATGTTTCAATGGTGGGGAAGTTTCTCCTCTGAAGTAACTTCAGGATCCCGGCCCTGATAGTGTTTAGTGTTCTTAGTTTCTTTCACAAAATTTTTCTAGTAAAGTGATGCCCGCTGCCCTTGGTCACCTCAAATATTCGGTGGAGTAAAGTTACGGTATAATTTATTTTTGCTTGTGCTTCAGCTGGTTGGGTGTGCTTGGATGATAAAGATAACGAATGTTACTACGATGCTGATGATAGCATTGAATGTTACTACGATGCTAATGATAGCATTGAATGGTACTATGATGCTGATTCTAGTAATGAATGTTACTATGACTGCCAAGATAATACATCTGATAGGAATGTGCATTCTGATGAGAAGCATGATTTTTTTTCTGAACTGTTTTTTTGATTATGGTTTTTATTTTAGGATGACTACGCTTTTTCTTACTTCTGGCTTCTTTCAGATTTGCTGTTTTGCTGATATGGTTGAAGCATTTTTAATTAGTTTTTTAAGTTGATTTTGGTGACCGCAAAGCTGCTTGTCTTGTGCTTGTTTTGTTGTGTTTTTGTTTTGCCTGTTTGCTGTCTTTCAGAAGAAAAACAGGCATGTCAAATTGTATTCGTTGTTCGGATTTAAGATGGAGGGAGTAAAAAAGTACATATTTTCGTATTGGTTCTGCAACACTGACGAGACAAAACTTTTGTCAGTGCGCTTTGTTAAGTATTTCGAGACTGTATTTGTTTATTTTTTTGCAGAAACTAATGTTTGTTTGTTTTGGAGAAACCTCGGCACTCTTTCGGTACCGTATTTTCATCGTTAGTTATTTTTTGACTGGGATAGCAATTGACGTCAAATTTTTCTATAGCTTTCTGGCGCCATAGGAAATCAGACATGTCAGATTTTCCAACCCCAGCACTTCAAGCACGGAGAGAATCTACCGGGATGACCGAGTTACTTCCTATATTTATATTTAAGCGACTGTTTTTCCAGTCCATTTTTTATGCGTTTTTGCATATATGTAAATTGCAAAAACGCATATTGGGAAGAGGCTGTCTG